AGAAGAAAGATGATGGAGAGAGTATAGCAAAATTGTTATTGTTAGGACCAATGCTTAAGATAACTGACATGACTTACTGGTTCTCTCACAGTACTGGTATCCAATACTTAGTATTCATCTTCTAGATGCATGAATGTTTGAATTTCTGTAAATAAGACATTACCAATACTGAATAAAGTGAAAACTGGAACAGCACTTTGTTGCACTGTTTCAGCTGCCTCTAAACTAACTACATTGTCAAATTCTATGGTTAAGGCAGTTTATCTCACAAACCTTTGGGTATAATGGTCCCGGGCTGGTTTTGGTACACTTAATTCTTTATTTTCTTTTCTGAAACAGTTTCAGAGGCAAAACTAAGTTTATTCTTTAGTATGAGAGGCATTTATTACATGTAAAGTTCTACCTTTTCTTATTATAAGGGAAGAAAACTTACACCCTTTTTGTGGAAAGATCTGTTTCAAGAGACAACTGAGATCAACTTGAAGAACACTTCAGGAAGAAATTAAGTTTTTAAAGATCAATGCATATATTAACAGCTTTGAAGTAACAGAGTGGAAAAACCAGACTCACCTTTGTTAGAAATCAAATACTCTATGCCTATGTTTGCTGGTAGATGATGTATTGCTCTTAAAGTACCAGAAAAGACCTGAGAAGGTGTTTTTGATTCTTTCAGGTCAGGCTGTCAACTGCATGATGGCTTTAAATGAAACACAGGCTACTACAACAGGTTTGATGCCTACCAGATCACGTTGCACATTTGCAGCTGGTACAACTCTACATTTGATAAGTTAAGAAATGCAACTGCATCTTAACATGAAAAACATTTTCAAGTCAATATACGTATATTTACTGTCACACAAGGAATGCCATTAAGTTTCCATTCTACACACTCAGGTGAAAAATTTGTTAAAAAGTCAAGAAACAAAAAAGCATAAAATCTGTAATAGGCAACAATATACAAAGTTTCAAATATAAAATCGTGACTTGTATAGTTTGTCATTTTCATCTTTTCACAAGAAAAAATTAAAAGAACCACACATCACTGAACTTCTACACAAGCTTCTTGTGTTTGAATGTCATTTATTGAGGAGTGAATGAGATACTGTCAGACATGCCAAAGAGACTTCACATTCAAGGGCTGGAAGCTGAACAGCTTTCCTCATTGAGTCACTATACAAGTTGTTTTTAGGAATCAAAAGCGCGATCAATGAGGTCTTCATGCTCGATGTTTGTCTTCAGTTTTTCATCTTTTGATCTACTATCTTGTTGGGCAGAAGGACACTTTCTACCCTACAAAGACTCACACTCCAATTAATACAATTAACACTAGTTGTAGAGAAACGTTTATCTGTTATAACGTACATCTACTGCTGAAGGTCTTATGTCTAATGAGAAAATTCAACTTGTTTCCCTTTCACCATCGTATGGATGGCTGATAACGTTAGAAAAATACTCTTCAGTGCTATTGTAGGGTTTACAGGAAACTTCTTTCATGTTGTGGGATAGAAACCGATTTAAACACCGTTCTGAAAGAATGCTTCTTCCTGCTGCCACTGCCTGTAGGTTGCAGAAGAATGGCCTACACGCACTACAGTTCTGGTTTTACTCAGAAAAGAAACAAAAGAAACCTAAACAATAGGGTAAACGTTTATTTGGAGTTAGTTTTCTTGCAGATGATAATTAAGGCCCTTCAAGCAGAGTTCAGGAGCTCCTGTATGGCTGCCTGTTGATCTGCATTGAGCTGTGATATGCATTCTGTCCACAGTCCTCTGGATGTCTAGAAAAAAAAAGAGAAGTGGTCTTTATGCAGGCTGAAAGTGTCCAAGGCACATCCTAAATTTTGCTATGTTTATAAAGCTCAACATTCACACAGCTTATTCCTGTAATATATATATGCCAAAGAGACTGAAATCCTCAGTGATACACAGGTTCAAGTTAAGATGCTCCAAAAGGCTGAACAACAGCAGAACAATTGATTCGGAACCCCTGGGAACTCTCTCTAACAACTATGTGGGTTAAAAATGACACTCCTGTCTGTGTCAACCACAGCCTAAACCATTTGATAGTTTTGCACTAAAGTTAAAAGACCAATGTTCAGGCAAAACTGAATCATGCTTCTTCCACGTGAGTGTTTTGGGCACTGGTGCAGCAGTAACACACTCAGATCTTCAAGGTGAGCACTGGGATTACAGCATGATGTGCTACATGAGGGTATGCAAAATTCTGCTGCCAACACAGGGTGTAGCTCTTCAGTGAAAGGTCAATTACTTCTCAGAGAGAACTGCACAGCATCTATCTAGGTAAATGTAAACCCTTCATCTGTGCTGCCACAGCCCTCAGGTGAGACATTAGCTTTTAAAGTCACCATCAGTAAGGACTGTTCTAATGGTACCAGAAAGTGCTAAATATTAATGAAGATTGAGGAAAAAGTATTTATTCACTCATCAATAGAAACTGGAAGCAATTGGCACCCTGCTTTCTTTAGGATAATGACAGGGAAAAAATTCCAGGTGACTGACTTTAGGTCTTTAGATTGGCTTTTGCAATAACAGTATGATTCAAGTAAATTTAAAAAAAAAGTTTAATTTATACTTGGTATATTTTATGTTCAGTTCTATCATAATGTCCTTTTCTCAAAATTTTTAAGTTTAAAAAATATAAAAATGGATTGAAAAAATTCAAAAAGAATTGCTCTCAAATGTAAGTTTGTGTGTTTAGTTTTAAATACCATTAGGCATTTTAGACTCTTAATGTATTATGAAATATTGCAGAATTAAATGCACTCTTCCAGCATATCTGATGCATATTTAAATTGATACTTTACACTGAAATATTTCTGGCCTGACAATACCTAAGCAAAGAAGTTTATACTCAAGTCCAGTAATAACCATGTTGATCATGACCATGTTAGACACTGGCAGTGAAACAGCTTACTGAGATAATTAAAAAAAAAAAAGTCTCCTGGACTCTGAGAAGCAGGAGCTTGTTAGCAACTCCATAACCTTGAAAATTCCTATCCTAGACTCTTACACTTAAGAGTATAAAAGTCTTACAGCTTTACTAAAGTCAAAATACTATATGTGAAGAGAAATAGTATTGGTAACACTGTGCTAAAATTGTACTTTTTAAAAGACGTGACTTTTAAGATTTTGTTTTTCTCCTCAGTCTAAAGGTAAAGCATACAGCCAATGCTGAAGGTCTTATCTCATATTAAAGTTTCTATCAATCCTGGCCAGAACCAGACATTGTTGTGAACAATTAATCTATACATGTATGTGCCACAGTATTGTTAAAAAAAAAAAAAAACAAAAAACTTGATGATTTGAGGTGAAGTGAACAAATGCATTAGGTAAACTCTAATAAAAAGGTGCATTCCTAGACTTTGAGTACTAACAGCAAGGATTTGTATCTGGCAGGCAGTCACACTACTTTCACTTTGTAACTTGCTCAATTTCCTTCTCTTATGCCTTCAGAATTTTAACAACTTTTTCTACCAGACAAAATGGATGTCAGGCTGATACACGGACATGTGTACAGGTGAATCCGTTCCAATATCAAAATTCCTAAAATTCTTGAACCTGAATTTTGCCAAAGCAGGTCAAGTAGAAAGGCAATAATTGAAGATCAGCTGCTCAAAATCCTCCATGCTTTTTTATGAGTGAGATGCTTACCAAGCACACTCCTTTATCTCATTAGTACTACATCCACCCAACAACGTTTGGCCCTGGAGTAGATCTGCGCCATGAGCACTATTGCTTACAGCACCAGAGAGAAGTGCTGTTTAAGTACCTTAACATCCTCATCAACATTAAGCAACTCATTATGGCATAAAGGAAGTGAACCTTAAAGCAATTCCCCAAAGGCAGGGAAAGCATCAAACAGCCACCTATATTTGCACAGGATTGAAAAGGGCAATAAAATAACTTGAGGTTTGCACTCATTCTCTAACAAAGAGCCCAAGCTGCTGCTGTATTAGAAAGTCACCACAGGATGCTGCCGACCCTTACAAGAACCACATCTTGGATCAAATCCTGCAGTACAGTTCACTGATAAAAGGACATGCAAATTTCTCTCCAGATTCTAATTTCTGACTCAGAAAAAAAAAACACAAAAACTAATACTGGCTCACACATTAACCATCTAGCTGCATGAAAGTTAGTTACAGTCATTTTATTCAAGTGCAAACGTCACCAAGTTTTATCATTAATCATTCAATCTCCAAGATCACTGATTGAACCATTATTCTCTAAGGAGATAAGGCTCTCAAAACTGATTTAACAGTTTAGTTCCTCCTGCAAGCAGATTCTAAATGTTCCCTTTATACTTAAGCAAGCATTTATTTACCTGCACTTGGCGAACAACATTAGCCAGCCGCTTGGTACATGGATCTTCATGTTTGATAGCTTCGTGGATTTCACCATCCGCAATTATACCAAGTATTCTGGGAAGGTTGGAATTGTTGGGACCAAGGACAATTGGGTTATTGCTGTTACAAAAGATATATTACAAAGGAATTAATGTTTATCTAAAATAATGTAAACACTTTACACATAAGTGAAGTGATTTTGAATGATCTTATTCTAAAGCTGCTTATTTAGGTTTAAGTTTCACACACCTGAATAAGTATACACAGCTTTGTTGCCTGCTGACAGCATGTTCCCCCTTCCGTTAATATTTAACCACCTGATTCTTTACTTAGCCTAAAATTTATCAGGAAGAAGTTCTGAACTTTACAGAATGGCTGAGTTCCATGCAGATGGAACTGTAAATAGTGTTACAGAAATACGTTGCTAAAAGGACTTATTCCTCCCTCTCCCTCGTGCCTCTCAGGACCTTGTGTTACTGGCATCAGGAGCGCCGGTAACTTCACCTCTCTGCCAGCACTCGCCATGACACAGCAATCAAGCAGTTCTGCTCCCTCTTTCCCAGCCAAATACTGGAGTGAAGGAGTATTAGCTATCAGGAATCTGTGTGGAACACATGATCTACTTCCAGCCCTGCCCATTACTATTGCTGGAATGCAAAGGCTGTGAATGTAGGACTGGCAGAGCTCCAGAGAAGCAGGTAGCCAGGCTGAGCCATCTGCACAGAGGTGGGTACAGAAGTGTGCTGGTACTGCAGTTCTCAATTTCTACGTTCCTGTTCACATGCATTATTATGATGCCGCTCATCTGTATCTAACTGTTCTATAACTAGTCTAGGGACTTCAGTTGCCATTTTGAGACTCTGCCTTAATAAAGCACCCAGAGATACAAGGTCTTCACAAAACAAAAAAGACTGTAAGAAATTGAAGTTACTTCCTTTATATATTTCTCCTAAGATGTAATACAGTACCAGCCGAATGTACTCGGAGGCTACATCTTTTTGCTCATTTATGAGGTGTATCACACTAGAATAACTGTTTACGTTTTTCCCTCCATTTACCTACAGGAAGGAACACAAACCAAAAGAATAATCTGTGGGATAAGATGCTTTCAATGATAGCTGAAATAATTATTAAGGGAGATAGCACTGTACAATGAATTTTTCCATATTATTTCTCTACTTGATACTTTACTTTGTTGGAAAGCAAAAGGGTGCAAAACTACTTTAAATAAGGCTGCAAGACAATGTGGCTGCTTTTAAGAGAAAAGACCTGATCAGATACTGGTTCTGATATGTAAGCAGAATGTCAAAAACTTCCTGATATTTTCTGTCAAGGTTTTCTGCAGATCCTTTGCCATTAGGGATATATAAAGCAGCCAGGATTCTTTTCCAGGCATACAGATGCTATTTAGGACAAGAACAGTAACTGTATAAAAAAGCAGAAATAACATCAGGGAGGGCTCAGTTCTGACATTTCTAATTATCTTCTCTAAACTATAAGTAGATTAACCTCATAGTTTCTCAGTTTTGGAAAAAGAGTGCAAGGAAAGAGCATGCAAACAGGCTTACTTTCTGCATTAGTGTGAAGACTTTGCCTTACCTCTCAAGTAAGTCACACAGATAATTGAAAGTATGAACAGCTTCTTCTTTGTCTTCATGAAGTGGAAGCCATGATAACCAGTGTGGAAGGACTTCTTCAACATTTATACAGTCAGGCTTGAACTTCATTATCTTTCCTATTGCTGAAATGCAGTTTTCTGTTGCATTGACATTCTCTTTGGCTTTGGCATCTGGTGACTGAATGACTCTAACCAGCAATGGAAGCGCCTCTAATTGTTAGAAACACAAGAATGAAGTTTACTTGCACAATCAAGCTATACTTTATTATTATCACAAATTCTACTTGAGACAACCGTATGTATTAAAACCAAGATTTTTTGCAATCCAAACACTAAAATCTGATCATTCTGATGTTCTGCTGCTTCTAAATTCTTCTCTGTTCAATAATTACCATATGAAAACCAAACAAATAAAGCTCTGCAAGGAAACAGAAGGAAACAGCTACTGCAAAAGTTTGAATTTGCATTAGAAGTTCAGAAGAAAATAATATTCCCATGTCTCTCAGTTGGAGTTATGCAACCTAAAACACACAGGACACTGTAGATAGCAAGCCTTATCTCTTTAATCGATTATGTTCTACAAACACAGGAGGAGCAAAAGCACTGCTGCAGTGACATTCACTGTGAATGTCACTCCTTCATTCAGTGTGAACAATAGTGCGCATCCTCAGTGTATGCCTGCTGTGTATCTACTGCTAGTGGGCACATCTGTATATAAAAATATGTACGGACATACACATACACGCTTCCTACCACTAACAGATACCCTAGGAAAAGGTCATAGGAGTAATCTCACCTGGTGAATCAACTTGGCATAGTTTAGATTATAAAAATCAAGGGAAGAAAATGTCTTTCAATGCCAGGAAAAATGACAGTTTTCTTCCTAGGTTAATAGCAATTATATTTTTTTAACAGTCATGTGGCTAGCCACATGCACACTTCTAAATTAACATTAATGTCACATTTTTAGCCACTAGTGTCCATGCAGACTTCCAAGCACACTATATGCACGCAGGAACAATTGTCTTTGTGTTCTTTTGCTAAAAATGAAATGCTAAAGCTGTGAAAGTCTCTATCAGTGCAGTAAGCAGGTTGTGGAATTGTACAGAAAGCACACATCAAAATAACTCTACTGAGGAAGAGTAACATCTCACACCTTCTGAATTTTGATGAGTAAGTAGAAACTTTGCAGTTAAAGGATAATCCACTTTCTATATTAACTCCACTGCATTAGATTTTTGAAGAATTAAGCAGCTATGGAAAAGCTGTTAAACATTACAAAACTACAGAAACATCAGACCTGCTAGCTTATGTATATTGAATGCATGATAATGATGCTGCACTATTCTCCAAGGCAGAGCTTGTTTCAGAGAGGTCTACAATGTCCAGGACAAATGAGCCTACATTTCATACCTGAGGTTTTCATGGCTGAAGCTAAATCTTATCTCATCTGTATCCCACTCACTAATACTAATGGATGACTCTGTAGGTGTCCTTGCAACTGTAAAATTAGGAGGGCATCAAAATGAATCAGCATAATTTTCTCCCTACAGCCTACGAGACAAGTTTTCATCTTGTCTATAAAACAGATCCATTCTCACATAGATATTGTGTTTGGTAAACCTTAAAAAAGCCTTTTGACAATGGAAGTCCCATCTTTTATAATAAATTTTTCTCCAAGGACTGACTGCTCTGACATCTGGCACCACCCAGTTTTGATCACTGATGTGATTTAGGAAGAAATCCATGCTGTTGATTAATACAATTTTCACGGAGAACAGCTAATTTTATTCTCCCATCAACATAACAGAAGCAACCTTGCCAGTTGCATCAATTGTAACCTTGTATCCCTGTTTAGAAAGTGACTTGATTTGCTGTAGTTTTTCCTTCCATCGTATTTCTTTGCCCTTTATGAAATCTGGTTTTAGTGACGTTTATTTCATCAGTGTAGCTCACATACCATTTACAAGTTCTTGCTATATTCCTGGACTTTTTTTAACTGACTACCAAAAATGCTCATATAATACCTCTGCTTTTTCTGAAGAGTGTTTACATACTCTTCAAACTTGCAAAAGAACAATATGCCAGTGCTATATATCAACCAGTAAAGAAAATAAGTTATAAATAAAAGCCCACAAACATGATGCTTTTCAGAGATGTAGCAAAACCTGTAAATAATATCTCATGACATGGATTTGTTTCTAATCACAACGTATTTTCACCTATTAAAATAACTCACTAAGTTCTTTCATGTATGCACAAAAGGATTTAGAATACTTTTGAGGTGTCTGCAAAATAAGCTGTAAGCTGTAAAGCTGAAAGTTTATTTTATATAAAATTCAACCTAAGGAGAAACCAGGTGTCAGAGCATAATCAAGGATTGTATGTCCAAGTACAAAGAAAAGGATCAAAGATTTTACAAAGTTTAAGTGGAGTAAGATAAAGTGTAATTAATGAAAAATAAAATTAGACTTCAACAGATGCTAAAAAGCTCAAAAAATTTCAAAATCAGAACTGTCTAGACAATTCTAAATTTTCATGCTCTTAATGATTCATTGCAAGGCTTCCCACACTGCTTTTCTTTTCTTTTAAAAAAGACACCTTATCCTGATTGTCATCATGTAACAGTTACATTAACAATGAAAATTGCAACCCTGATGTAGGCAAGATTTGTGTCAATCCCTATCAGATAATTCTTATTTTTTACATAATCTAATTCAGCTTCATTTGATATTTATGAGAAATACATATTTACATGATTATACATTGTCTAAAAAAAGGGGAAAAAACCCTTTGATAAGGCATGCTACTAAGTGTGCAAATTTAACTTTGGTGACTGGCAAGAAGAGTGCAAGCAGACAATTTCTTTAAATCTAAGATGAATTTGAAGTTTCAAAGAAATTTGAAACATTCAGAAAGAAAGCAGACAAAGTCCTTCTGATAAATCATTTCACTTCTTACTTTACAGAAATCAGACTCCTTTTTATATAATCAGAAAGCAGAGAGCCACACAAGTTGTATTCTAAGCTATTCCTTAATATATGTCTCTTGTGTTTTTCCAGACATCCAAAGGCATTTGCATTAATATGTAACAACATCAGTATTAGTAGAAAGCATCTATGAGACAGCTGTGTATCAAAAAGATGGTTTTTATGAAATTAACGTTTGCATGCCAGATGATATTTTAAAAAGAATATGTAAATCAAGTTTGCTAAGCAGTCAGTGCTGGAACAGAAATGCTACTAAGCAGAAAACAATAACAGCCTGAGGAACTCGGGTACTTTATCAATTCATCACCAGTCTACAACACAGGCAATACTGGCAATCTACTTCACTGCCAAGGGGAACAACCAAAAGGTGAGCCATTTTTATTTCTTGAACGCCCACGTTTAGGGAGTTCTGTCAGCTGCAGGGCTGTACCTGGGCAGACGGGCCGGTAGCTGTCCCCGCCGAACTGTGCGATCACTCCCACTCCGTAGGCAGCCGCCTGCCGAACCTCGGGGCTGCTGTCACACACCGACTCCAGCATGGGCCTCAGGAAGTACTCGGCGTACTTGAAGGAGGCAGGGCTGCAGTGCTCCACCACATCGTCAAAAATGCACAGCCCCCACTGCCGGTCTGCCCATGGCCGATGCGGACACTGTGGCACAAACACCCAACAGCTGAGACAGCTTGAAATTATTGTACAGCCAATGATTATATCAACAACAATCACAGGAACAGTGGTCTAATTATTTTGTTAAAATCTTCATGGGTTAAATTCAATCCTAAAACCATGTAATTTATGGTAGCGATCATTCCATCAATACCATGAACAAAACAAAATCCAGGTGTCTATCTTTCCACCTCTGTTTCACACTCAATTACATGTATCAGTCTCCATTTTTCCCTATGAGTCTGCATCACTTTTTTGTCCCTCCTCTTGAAATCCATTTTTGAGACACTGGACAGTCTCAAGGAAATTAAATTTCTCAAAACCAGTGTGTGTCAGTAGTCCTGTCCTTTGCAACACAGATTTTAAGTAGCACTGCAGCAACTTTGCTCAAAAAACACAGGGTAACAATGTCATCTTTGATTTAGAATAAACTTTCTATTTTGTAAAACAGTAATTGCTACATTCTATCTACCAAGTTCTCTAAGACTTCAGCATGGTAGGCATATTAATACATCAGAAAATAAAATTTAAATTAAAAGAAAACAAGGTACTTACAATTAGGTTGACAATTAGTGGAAGTAACCTTTCAAACCATGGCAGTACTTTCTCCTTGTAACTACTGAATATTGAGTGCAAAATGTCAGATACTTTAGTCAAAATATAAACGTCACTGTCATCCTGAAAGGAAAAGGATACAATTTACATGAAGACTAACAATCTTTAACAGAGTGGAATTCACATGAAATGCTAAGGTGTCTAAACTAAAGGAATAAAGTTGATTAATGACTTTTTTGGTCAAACCTTTAGTTTTAAGTTCACTAATTTTCATTTATTTGTCTAATTGCAGAATGATGGAATAACAAAATGATTTGGGTTGGGAAGCACCTTAAAAATCATCTAGTTTCAAACTCCCTGCCACAGGCAGGACACATCCTACCAGTCAGGGACACTTCCCTCTAGACCTGGTTGCTCAGAGCTCCATCCAGCTTGGCCCTGATCATTCCCAGGAATGGGGCATAGCACATCCTTCTCTAGGCAACATGTTCCAGTGCCTCGAGAGACATCAATTGTTACTGTCATGTGGATATTGAGGCACTGAATTGAACTTTAACATGGCCATCCAGTCAATTCCTTATCTGCCGAATTCATCAAATATAGATCACCTCAAGTTAGTGACAAGGATATTGTGTGGGACCCTCTAAAAGGCCTTACAGAAGTCAAGACAGATGACATCAGTTGCTCCTTTGTCCATTAACAGTCACTCAATCACAGAACCCACTAAATTAATCAGGCATGATTTGCACTTTGGAAGCTATATCAGCTGTCTCTAATCACCTCCCTGTCTTCCAGAGCCACCAGGAAAATGTGTTCAATGATCATACTGGGCACAGAGTGAGACTGACTGACTGGTAGTTCCAGGAGTTCTCCTTTTCACCCTTCTTAAAAACGTTGATTGCTAGAAACTCAGTTGCCTAGGACTTGCAGGCTTGTTTCAGGAACAGAAAAATCAGATCAAGACAAAACTGTCTTGTGCAAATTTGCTGCTTCAATGTAATCCCTTTACAGAAGGCAAAAGGCCTTCTTCCTTTTCTGCACCTTAGATACCCTAAGAAACTTTTATGGAAAAGTAAATGGATAACTACCTTTGTGATGAAGATTGTGGCAAAAATATAACAGATATTATTCTCCTCCTCTTGTTGTTTAAATTAATTTTTCACCTTTGCCAGTTAATACATCAAACTGGTCAAATAAATAGCCTTACATCAGAGATATTAATTCAAGTTATTATCTACAGGTGAGGATTAGTCCCTCAATACACTTATGCTGGGAAAACTCTAACTTTCTTCTACAGCAACTTCTGTTGTACTCAGAATGGACCCTTTAACCAGTTTATACTTTAACAGGCAGGGAAAACAGTACAGCTGGTCCCTAGTGACCTTCATCTTTCTCACCTTCTGGTGACAAACTAGTAACTTTCTTGTGCAACAGGCAGCTTTCCACAAGTGGATATTTAAACCCTTCCTAGTGAGCCAATTTCTGCATCATCAAGACACAACTCAAGCAAGAACCCTGGAACACGCACACGATGACATTAAGAGGCAGAGAACTGCTCCAGCATAGCACAAGGTCCACCTAGCCTGGTACTGCCTGTTGACCAACAGTTGACAATAGATGCTTGGAGAAGAGAGTGTAACTCTTGCTTGGTGTACACCTTCTGCTCTCTACCAAATCAGCAGTTTAGTTACTGCTGAAGTGAGGGCTGGATCTGAAACTATTGTCTGAATAACTTTCATGACTTCTGTGCTTTTGACATTCCTGCTGCCTTGAGGTAACAGCTACATAAACACACTCTGAGACCAAAGGTGTATATCTAAATGTTACTCATTTGTTAATTCTGTCCATATGGCAAGTGATGTCATCATACCACACCTTCTTTCACAGGGTACTGCAGACAAGTCTTTCTCCAGACTTTACAGAACAATCAGCAAACATTAGAACATTTTTAAAAATGTGTTGCAACTCTGTTGCAGAGTAGGGACACAGATTTTCTGAAACTGCCTGCCCACATTTTCTCTCAGTACAGAGTGACACATAAGAAATAACAAGGTCTTGGAGGCAACAAAAATATATCCTCTTGAATGCTGGCCTAATTGTAAAAAGCCTAAAAGGAGGGTCAAGAACCACACTGTTATTTAAGACAGTATTTACATATGGGTATGATTTCTGGAGTCTGGATACAGGTTAAAACTCACGTGATCAAGCTTCACACCTGCATTGTTCATCAAAAAAATTTCTTAATTCTTAAATTTATTGAGCATCCTTTATCTCATGTTATAAGCAGCAGCAGCAGTCATTCATTATTACTCTCTCTCCATACTAATAATGAGTTAATAAAATTATTGTATCTCTTCTACAATCACCTCCACTTTAAACTATTAACTCACTTTGGTACCATAGCATATAAGTAGTTTAGTAGTCACTTTGGTATTCTCTCATAAGCAAACATATGATGGCAGCTGTTTATCCTGTCCTTTTCTGATAGTTTTTGTATTCTGTATTCTTTTTGAGACAGGCTCCTGACATGACACACCACATGTCTTTAAATCAGACGTATAGAGGCCCAAAGTTAAGAGCCACCCAGCTTGCAAGGCTCAAAGAAAAAGCAAGTCAGAAAGGCTAGACCCAAGGGATGACCTGTTTTCAGTCTACAATTTCCTCACTGGGGGAAGAGGAGGGGCAGACACCGATTTCTTCTCTGTGGTGACCAGAGAAGTGATGGGACCAAAAGGAATGGCCTCAAGCTGTGTCAGGAAAGGTTTTGGTTGGGTATTAGAAAAAGATTCTTTCCCCACAGGGTGGTTGGGCACTAGAGCAGGCTCCCCAGAGAAGACCACTTCTGTGGTGTCATAGCACCAGCCTGACAGAACTCGAGAACTATTTGGACAATACCCTCTGGCACATGGTGTGATTCTTGGGATGCCCTGTGATGAGGCAGGATGTGAAGTCAATGATCCTTGTGAGTCCCTTTCAACTCAGCCTATTCTGTAATTAGTCTGCTGTCAAATCTGTATTAGTGTTAATGTCATGCAAGAATTGTTTGAGCAGATGTAGAAAATAAAAGGCTATATCATTAACTTCTTACTTCAGTGTATCAGCCAAGGAAACCTTTAATATTTTCTAACTCATAAATGTAGTGTGATTCACTTCTTACTGTAAGTTTTGAAGGACTATGGTAGCAAGATTCTTCTATGAAGAAATAATTTTGAGAATGCACTATGTCCTAAATGAGTCAAAAGCATATTTGTGCAATATTTCCATGCTGGTGCTTGATGAGTAGAAAACCACTTCAAACTAACTTACTTCATCTTGTAATGACTCTTCAACTTGTTCATCATAGTCTTCATCTTGTCTTTTCACTAAATTAAAAAAAATAATTAAACCACTACCTTTTTATAAGTGCATAAGAAGCCTGTGAAAGGGAAAAAATTATGCAGAAACAAATTTAGAAAAACACTAAACAGTAGCTGAAGGTGCAATAGGAATTTTCCATTTTTAAGAAGCTTCAAAAATTTTCACAGAAAAGGACAAAGTACAGGACAGCTCAGTTTAAGAATGTGCAAAAATGCACATAAAATAGAAACAAACACACCAGCTTGTCCACAAAGACAAGAAAAATACTTAGAAATGAGAAACTACTATTGCTTTGAGAAAACTGCAAAGACTTCACCTGAAAAAAACCCATGTAAATTGTAACACTATAGATGTGCACTGTGTTTCAAGTAAATCCGTCCATTAACTTTTGATTAAACTACAGTATTGCTGAAAATGATACTATCTTAATCTTTCAAGAGCTTACAACTCAAGGATTCTGTTGGTTCACAGTCCAATTACTTTGCATAAATACACAAATCAATCTGAACAGATTTTATTCTCTGTGTTCAATTTTAAAGAACTGCCACATCCCCTGTTAACAGGATTTGTGTTAACTTACCCTGTCTTAATTCCTGATTTTTAAAGTGCTCTTCTAGTTTTTCTTTCAGTATTCCTCCAAGTTCTTCAAAGTGTTCATTGTTAAGGCATCCATCTCCCATTACCTCAATGCACTTGTGAAATAAAACAATCCATTTTTCAGCTTTAAAATTTAATATGAGCAGTCTTAATGTAGCACACAAAGAATATTAATACATGCCCTGGATCACTAGCAGGAATAATATTAGAAGAACAATCATCCTGTAATCAATGCTCAAATTATACAAGTAAGGCACAGTACCACTATACATTTCATACCCATAATTTCAGTTGCTGGTAGTTAAAATGAAAACATTTGGTAACTGTTTTAGTTAATACTTTGGTATTTTGCAAAACAAAATACAACTTTTTCCATCAGTTGTAACAACATTTATAGTCACAACAACATTTATAGTCACTTTCTGTAGAGGAAGCCTTGCATTTATTCGAGCAGTTTAAAGAACAACCAAACATGTCTGTTCTTATTTCAAAAGGCTACGAACAGTAACACCATGAAATTTGCAAGAACGTTACCTTGGCAAAAGAATGCATTATTTCTGAGAGGACATCGGACTCTGGCTCCGTCCCAATGGCTTTGATGAGAGCGTCACACATGAAGTGCCACATCTGCGTGAGGTACTCCGGCCCACGAACCCTGGCACATTCAAGAAGGAGGGGCATCGACTCTGCGGCTGCCACTCGGACACGTGCCATTATTAAGGAAAGACAGCAACCAACACCAACAAAGTGCTTAGAATTTAAGACCTCAACACCATAACGAAGTTCTTAGTTTTTTACCCAAAATTCATTTAATTATAATCCATGCATTTGATTTGTTAATTATATATAGATTAAATCATAGGAAGTGTTTTCAAGTCTGTTTCAGGCCATGACAGAAAAGCTCTGTTCAAGCTCTCTTCTGCTTTATTACAGAAACATTGCTTTTTCTACTGATTGCTTATTTAAAAAGGAACTAGGGGGAAAAGTAGGAATACATTGCCTAAAATAGGGTGTGTAAACCAACATTCTCTGAAACCATTTCTGCTATAAAGTCACAGACTATTTTAACACTAACACTTTCATTTAGGAAAATAGCAAGCTCAATTTTGATTCCAAGTTTCTGTTTTCACAGTGGAATTTGTTAATAGGATATCATCATGGAAATAGAACTTCAACAATGGAACCATCAACTTTACAACTTGCTCTGTGTATTCCACAAATCCTTCTTTTAGCTCTTTTGCATAGCAAACCTGAAAAACAGAGCACAGATATGCGACTTTTAAGGGATAATACTTATATTTTTCAACTATGTAAAGGTGAGAGGGAGATTGTTAGAAGTGTAAGGGTTTTTTTAAGTTTATTTTAAAAAACATGTAATAATCCATTTCCCTTCCCCCTCAACTGTGGCAATTTGAGAAACCCTGATAGCAGCATAAGTTCTCACTCTTAGGGCATGCATGTATATTTCAAACCAAATTCCAAAACAGCAATATTTGCAAAAAGGAACTACTTTTTAACATATTAAATTCCTTAAGTTTTGCTAACAAAGAAAAACAATCCGTTAATTTAAAAAAATGTACACTCCTAAGTAAATAAACTGTTTTTAATCAAGTAAACCACATGCAACTAAGTGCCTGTATTCCAAAATAGGCGGTATCACCCAAAACACTCTTTCACGTGAAACAAAAAAATAATATTTTAGTTACAGATTTTGGCTTCAGACTTGATTGACCAGAAACACAAAGATCATTAAAACCATTTTATTACTTACCAGCATTTGGCATGCAGTTGCTTTTTCTTCAAGGCCTGCAGTTTTAATTCCAAAACTCTGCTGATCACCTATGCTTACAAATTCCCAACCATCATCATCACTCATATTCTCCATATCTTGTGCTGTTATACAGAAGGGAGGAAAAATTATTTAAAAGTGTTACAAAATAATTTTTTTCAATATACTTTTCAAGCACAACATTTTAAACCTACTGTCTAAAAGAGCCACTTCAGGTTTAATGGATGCAGTCTTCATTAAAGGTCCCATGACAACAGGAAGGTACTGCTGAAATTCCTTTCCAAGAATTTTACACATTCTGGCCCAGGCAGAGATCATGTAAGAAATCTAGAAAAGAGAAGGCAGAATTTTTATGTCCCACATTTTATTTTAATGCATACTTAAAAGGAAGGTATAAAGGAAATGCATTACACAATAGGACTTTTGAAAAGAATTTGTCAGCAGTCCATAAAGCTTATTTCAAAGAGAAGCAATCCAATATGCAGTCCACACAAAAATGCATCTTCAAAAGGCATCCCAAGTTTAGCAAAACCTTGACAGCACCTCCAGTAAGAGTTGCTATACATGTAAAAATGAGACATTATAGGATTCATTATTGCATTTCAAGTGCCTGTTCTAAAACACAGTATTTTTTCTGAAATATTTGCCAGATTTAAACAATACTACCAAGCTACATTCCTGAACATCATAAAATAGAGCAAAAAGTAAAAAAGGGTGCAGTACTATGTTTTCAGATGAGTATTTGCTTTCAAATATACAAGTTAAAACAGTTGTCTGCTCATTAGAACAGCTGCTTAACAAGTCTTGTTGATCTATTTATAAGAGGGTGACAGCAAGCTCAAATTTCTTCTGCAAATACAGGTCCTGGAAGTCTCATTTCCTAACCACACTTCTGTGAAACATTCTAGGGCCATCTCAATGTCAAGTTTTGTAAGATCGCTGGACAACTATCCTGAAAGGCCGAGGAGGGGGCAGAAACATCATGTACACAAGGAATGGTTTTAATACCGACAAGCTATTAAGACACAATTTGAACATACCTGTGGATCATCATCTTCCAGATCACTGAAGTCTGTCTGTGTCTTCAGTAATAGCTGCATAACATCTGATGCATCCTGCATAAACTAGATATAGGAAACAACTACATTTTAAAAGGCAAATCAAGATGCTAGTTCTCAGAGACTTAAATTAAACTTTTTCAGGCATCCACAACAAAACCAAGTTCCCTTTGAACTGCATACATTTTGCCGCTGACACTGCCTAAATATGATGCTGTGTCATTTTTCTTAAGGCAAAAAAAAAACAACCCTCAAAGGAAGAAAAAAATCTTGATTTCAGCATTCTTCAGTGTGACAAGAATTACTTAAGCTACAATAAAATTTTATTGCAAATTTGTGAACTTAAGAAGCAACACAGTCACCTCAGAAATGGAAACAAAGATAAGCATAGAAATCAGCAACAATAGAGCTGTATGTTTAACAAGTGATTATATTAATTCAGTGCTAATACCACAAAAAATAAAGGCATTAAAATGTATTCAGACCATTATATAAAATCTAAGCTTACCTTTTCTTTGCCAACAGCAAGACCAATTAGACTGATGCATTCAATAGTCTTTCCTCGTAGAAGTCTTAATTCCTTCTGAACAGCATTTTCAACAATGTGTTTTAAGGAGGGCATAAATAAATCATAGTAGGGAACAAACTTCTCCTCCACTGTATCTGCAACTGATGCAATTGAAGTCACAACTTGCTCCAAAACTAGCTTAGTGCCTTTCTGTATCAACTTGGAAAGAGGAAGAATAAAGTGTTATATTTTTAAAGCACACATTTTACTTAAAAGCATGCCAAATGTAAAAATCTGCTTTTGCACATGCTAATTCTCATCAGTTTAGACCAACATCAGCAGATATGTATACTGGCTCATTTCTGAGTCTTAGTTCAGCTATACTTATTCTGCTTATGTGACAAGGTTACCCTCCATCAAACAATTTGTTCAGTGTTTATACCTCTTGCAATTTTATCACCATAATGGAATGAAGATGCTTCACTAGATTATCCAGATATGGAATAAGTAGTGACTTGGGACAATCTTCAGTGAAGTTGATGAGTGCTGCAGCTGCATGGGCTTGAACACGCTGGCTGCCTTGATCCTCCATGGTTTGTAGAAGAGCTCCTATCACCTGAAAAAGAAATACTCCTTTTTCAGCCAATAAGTTTCTGAAAGGGACACAATTTTACCATATTTTATCTGTACTACTCTACTACTTACCTTCTCATGAAATTTCTTTTGAAACCCAGGTGCAAAGTCAGTTGCCATTTGTCCAACAGCATTACAAGCAGCGTATCTTACTCTGGGATGCTGAAAAAGTATTTCCCTCAAACAGTTAACAAGCAGTTATAAGAGCAGAAATTAAAACATTTAAAAATAATTACTAAAACTATACTCACAGGATCTTGAAGAAATAGCAAAACAAAATTAACAATTTCATTTAAAATTCCCTCCATCTGTTGGTGGCAACCTTCTCCGATGGCAGAGAGTGCCATCAAACCAGCATGCCTGTACTTCCAGTCAGCTATAGAAGAGTGAAAATGAAGTGTTAGTCATTTTGGAAACTACCAAGAACCACAAAGACGAATCACCTTTTCTTTGCAGGGGCTGGGGGTCACAGGAGAAGGCAGAGTGAAGAACAAGAGATGGAAGGGAAGTTAATGCATCTACTTGATTTGTTAAATACTTTTCCGCTTTCCTCATACATACTTCCAGAGATGCACAAAAAATTGAATGTCTAATCCAGGCCAAATCCAAACCTAGAAAAAAGAATTCTTAACTGCTGATACAAGTACATACATAGTACTAATACCTGAATACTGCATTTTAATTAAATAAGCTGACCAGGCAAGTATCAGGACAGTATTTTTAGTATTTTTATTTTCCTCTCCCCCATCGTTTTTCTGTTTTAGTATCATAAGAGCCCATATGTTCCTCTAGAAAAAGGTCTAATGACTCAAACAGTATCTGAATCTAAAACAAATGACTGGTATTAAACTTTCCAACAGTCTTCTCAAGGCTGTAGGAACAGTAACATGAATCTTTCATGCCCCTCTTTCTTTTTTTGGAGTAACATGTGAGGAGAAACTCCAATTTATTTTATCTCCTTTTTTACAAAAATCTTTCTCTGTGCTAGAAATCATTGGGATTACAGAAGAGATAACCAAAGGAATAAACAGGTTTACCAAATGACCTGTGGGAAATGCACATTACAGAACTTATCTCCCAAAATAACTCAATATTTCATTATTGCTAGTAACATATTACATTCCTGGAATGAAGAACATCACAGTTCAGAGCAGTAGAATCCTGACACTCAAGCTTCTGTCTGACCACAATACAGTGAAGTATCATCTTGACAGAAGGTACAACAGAAAAGCAACAATTTCTTTTGTGCTACTTCAGTTCATTAGATGTTCTTAGCTAAGCCTACACCTCGTGACTCCCACAGCATTACTGTTAGCGTGTACTCCAAACTTGAAATGAATGAACCTAGAAAATGAAACACAATCTTCTTTGGACTATGTGGCCACCCAATCAAAACTCCAAAGTCTTAGATTATTATTTCAATAAATATTTGGAAGAAAGTGGGGATAGGAGAAGGAAAAGTTTGACTTCTGAAAGTACTGTTAATGTTTTAATCTAAGTGTCTTCATCTTTCCTCCCAAATACCTACCAGTGAGAGCTTTCAATCCAAACAACATCTTTTGTATTTGGATGTATTAATGGTTATGGACAGCTCTGACCCACAAGAAAATAATCATCAGGCATGAACTGCATGACCCCCCCTTCACAGGAGTCAGGTCTTTCAGTGATTATTAGACTACACTTCTCTGAATGTACTACAACATTAGCTAGTTACTAGCCTAGAAGCTATCAACACTGAGTCCAGGTTAGCTCCTTTCATTAATAAAACTTTCTTTACAGAAAAACTTTGATTCCAAACTGACTTTTTAAGTGTTTTCACACACAGCAGGTGCTACCTTGAGTAGTCCTCTGTTCCGTACCCAAAATGCTAACAGCCTTTTCTGGACTGGGTTTTAAACCATGAAGGCAGAAATAGTACCCAGAACTTCTGTGTCATCTTCTACTCCAAAGGTTCGAACCACAGATCAAGTGAAAGTGCATGAAAGCAATGCACTGTATTTTTTAATAGTGGCTGAGTAGGCATTACAGGTATTTTAAGAGGAAAACAACTGATAAGAATATATAGAAACACCTCATGAAACAAGTATTAAAATCAGCATACCAAACAGATAGACTGAGGTCATTGGTAGGCTGTCTATCAAATTCCAAGGGGAAAAAAACAAGTTTTCCTCTACAAACTGTAAACGTATTAAAATTTCACTTAAATGCAGCACTTCTGAAGAAGCAAAACCACTGAACTACAGAAAAAAAGGAGGCACTTTATTCAAACTTAAGGTACTGTGAGGGTCTGTTTAGGGATTTAGAGATAATATTTTGAAACAGAAAAACCCCATGTTTAAAAAAAATTGTTTTTATGACATCTCTGCTCAGCTGTCCATGTACCAGAAAAAATGTTGTAATACACTCTTTGTAAGTTTAATAAATCCATCTGAGAGAAAGTATAAACTTTCAAGTTCATAGCATTTACAGTTTTTGCTGGTGACATCAAAAGTGGAAGTGTATAATAACATATCAAGTAGCTAAACAAAAAGACTTAAAAGGTATTGAAGTTCCTGGAAAGCACAGAATTGTTAAAAAATAATAAAAGAAAATGCAGTTACTTACGATTCTGAAGCATTTGCATAATAT